GAATTGTTCCATGCCCCTGGATTAAGAGAATGAAGCTGTTATTGCAGCTGCTTTCTGCTCAAGCTCCCCAACCTTAAAACTAGCAAGGGCATGTGCTAGCCTCTAGCTTTCACAGAGAAAAGGTTCCCTGTGCCAGAATTTGTCAAGTGAGGAGGATGCAAACCTATCTCCTGTGGCATAGAAGGCCAGGGAAGAGAGGGAAGCTGGTCTTTAGGGTGCTACTTTAGAGGTGCAAAAATAACCTTCAGGTGCTGTCAAACTAAAACAAAGGCTCATTTACACAGCACGCGCAAACCCAGAAATGCACAGCACGCTCCCGTATTGGTCTCATCAAGCTCAGTCATTTTGGACAATTTATCCCCAAAACCTACCTGAACTTGTGCTCATTTGTACTCCCTCCCCTCTTCCCCTTTTAAGAAAGGGCAATAAACCACTGCCCTAGTTGCTTAGAGAGAGATCACTAACATGTTTAGAAGCTTCTGTGCAGTCACATCATGTCTGCAGAAATGCAGGCTTGGACCCGAGACATCAGAAAAGGGTCTGTCCTCCAGCCATGATAAAACCAAGGGAGGGCATGCAGGCCATGGTTCTACACTATCCTTCATCTCATGACAAACCAAGAGGTTTCTGTCCCTTGTCTGCAATATCCATGTGCCCCCACAGATTCCCTATAGTGATACCCACCCTGCTGCTTCTGCAGCCATACTCTGGCTCTGTGAAAAGATATTTTCTTTAAATCTCTCAGCAGCATGTTTCATCTTTTATCATAGGGTCAGATATCTGGTTTAGAGCACAACCAAGCATCTGGTTGAGCCGGTACAACCATAAAGAATAACTCTAGCAGGAGGAGGGGCAAAAATAGGGTCTTCAAGCTGGGCTTCCTCTGGAAGCAGCACAGCAGAACCTCAACAAGTATCAGTTTTTAATAACCGTCAGAAGGAACCAAGTCAGTCCTACCTGCAGCTGGTTACTGCTGACAGCACTTGTGGATGGCTCTCCTGAGAAGCAAGACAGACATCAAAACTCAGAAGTATTTTCCGCATTCATCCTCCATCAGGTCTCTCTGGACGCAGCAGGAGTTGCACAGTCTCCTCCTGGTTAGTTCGCCACTCTTGGCCTTTCTACGAGTCCCGTTACAAGGTCTGAATGCCCTGACTTCATGCGTGCGATTGCACATAGTTTCCTTACCAAAGGGGATGGGAAAGCATTTGGCTCAAACCACTTCTGATACTCTGCCCAAAGCATTAAGCCAACTTTTCCTAGTGCTCCAGCATGTGACAGCAAACTGCTGTAACATACACAAAAGGCAACCAAAGCCAGGCAGATAATACCACATTCATCTACTCACTGGATACAAGACAACTTGCAGCAAGAGGAACAAAGGCAGCTATCACATATGAAAGGCACCATTAAAACCAGCGTGCCTGAAATTCAGCCTTTCAGCTGCCCTGAAAAGCCCTTCTCAATAGCCCGCAAGAATCAGAGTCCTTCTCTTCTGACCAAAGGCTCCTCCAGAACTCATCAAGTAACATCTAGAAGCCTGGCCTCTTGGATCAAGGGCCAAGAAGCAATGTGAAGCCATGCTTCAGCCTGCTCCTTGGCTTGGGATTGAGCTGCTGTCTTTGATGTTCCAGGACCCTTCTGATCCAGAGGTGGGAAGATTCTCCAACACCCCGATTAGGGCTTCAATCTCTCACTTGGCCCTTGTTTAACTTTTTGCCAAAACGACTCTGTTACTCCCTAAATGCATCTTCTCTGCCCGTATCAGCATATACCTAGCATTTCATACTTAGTGATGTCTGCTTCCACATGCCCTTCTGGCACCTGACCCCAACTACTGTGAAAGCTGGAAACATTTCCTTCTGTCCCCAGCATAATAAAGCAGATTTCAAAGCTGATTCACCCTTCCAGAGCAGTTACAAAACTCATGTGCAGGAAAAAGCAACCTGTGAGAAAAAGCAAGGATGAACAACACAAAATAGTGCTAAAGACAAAAGAAAAAAATAGTCAGTGCCTCATTTCCTACTGGGGCTCAGAGGCCTGAAGTCCCCAAGAGGACAAGACCAGGTGAAGGATGACATGGGGCCCTGCCAAAGCTGAGCTGCTCCTGCAGTACAGGGAGAGCTGCCAGCTGGGGACACTGCCACACGTGCTGTCGCGCCACAGGGATCACTGAAATGTTTTGGAAAACAGCTGGTACCCTTTGGAGAAGGGGGGGCAAACAATCCTGCCCCTTTCTCCGGGTCCACCATGAAGAGCAACGGGAGACAGTCCTGGCAAGCTTAAGAAATGCAAGAGATGAGAAAAACATTGGCTGGGCCCCTTCCGCCTAGGAGCAGCTCTCACCAGGCTGAAGGCTCCACATTAGTCACAGTGCTAATTACATTTAAAAGAGCAGACAAGTCCTGGAAGATGAGAAAACTCAACTGCATCCTTGGATTTCTCCCACTACAACAGTGGAAAGGGCTCTTGGCTTGTTACAAACACAGTGACACTTTCCATAGACTGAAAACCCTGAAGTCACAGCTATTATCATTCCAGCTGTACATTAAGAGTCAGGACTCTGCTCTGGATCCTTAAAGGCTAAAGATGCTTCCTACAACGTCTCCATGAAATGGGGCTGAGACTGCCTGCAGTACCAATGTCTTCAGGTGTTCGGGGGAAGAGATTTGCATCGAGAACAAGCAGGTCCCTTACTTTGAGATTTTATTTTAATCTGACACATAACTACAACATGCCTTCACTCATATTAATCAAGCCTAGACACGGTAGCCAGAGAAAGGAGCAAAGCAGTCAGGAATAGCTTGCACTTGAATAACCAGCAATAGCTGCACGCTGAAAAGATAGCCTGAAAGCTTCTGGTTCAATGGCTGTTGCCCAAGGACTATTCCTGGCCAAGACTGCAAAGCACCAACCTGAAAAGCATCCTAACTTTGCCTCCGGCAGCAAGTGGCTTTGGCAAATGCTGGTGGGAAAACAATGACCTCTTGTGCCACGCTATACAAGCGAGGAGTGCGGCAGGACTCAAGCTAGCACGCTGCAAGAAGGGAAGGGAAAAAAAAAAAATGCAGTCTTACAGGGCAGTCAATGAGGCATCACATCGAGTCCTCATTATCCTCTGTTCATCCTCAAAGTGAGATGGTTTCCAGGTTTAGAATCCAACCTAAATCCTTCCAAATTCCTGCTCAGGATTTTTGAATAAAGCAAGAGATGTTTTTCCTCTAAACAAATCGTTTGTTGTTGTTGTTGAAGGAAAGCCAAAAAGCCCAGCAATAGCCAAACACAAGAGACAAGGTGTTCCCAGATCCTTTGCAAAGCACAGAAGTCCCTCGGGGAGAAGAGACTAGTTTGATACTTAACCTGGCTATACAGTGGATTTGCAGTCAGTTCTAGAAAGGGGCTTGCTCTACACATGTTTGTTTTCCTCCTTCGTTAGTTTACATCTCGAATTAGCTTTTAATACACAGCGGGATGTTGATTTTAAGACTAGGATAGCAGAGCCAATCATCTGCTGATAAAATATGCAATGCCAGCAGGTCTTTAAATTCAGCTGGATGGAGAATACGGCTCATTTAAATGCTTGCATCGGTTCATCTCACTTGTAACAACATGGCACAGCCTTCCGCCCCTCCGCATTTACTTGACTGTGCACAAGATTTGCTTATTTTCTAAGTTAACAAAGTAGGTCCTCGCAATCTCTTCGTTGTCAAAACAGCAGAGTTGCCCTTCCTCTGTGTACATGTTGTACAGGAACATTTAGATATCTCCTTTATAAAAGTGAAAATCACCAGGAAACAAAACAATTGCAATCCAGACCCCAGCCGCCCCACCCAGCAAAGAGTTTAATTGTTCCAATTACTCTCTGCCCTCTATATTTTCCTGAAATGCATCTAAGCAAACAGCTTTTGGGATGGTCACTTACCTTTTGTTTTCCTATCCACCGCAACTGGCTTTTTAGTTTCTGCTGTAAGCAATAGCTCGTAAGGGTGTTCCTCTTCCTCAGCTCCACTTCCCCTGCTCTTTCCTCGTGCGACAGAGGCCTAATGAAAAACAGCATAATGTAGTGCTCCACAAAGCAATGCTATTTATCCCAGCAATAAAGCACAAGGCCTCTTTATGCCATGGTTTAAGCAAGGAATTGGCAGAGGCAACACCTTCTCTGTGGAGTGTGATCCAAAACGTAATACTCCACTCCGCCCGGCCCCCCAAAAAATCCCACCCAACCCCCCGTTATTTTCGAGTATTTCAGGTTGCTGACAGCTTCCTAGCACTGACCAACTGATTCACTGTGCAAGGTCTGCAGGCAGCCTGGAGGGGGGAAAAGAGCTGAGAGCATTATTCCTGTTCATTCCAACTCAGACTTACTGTTGCTATTGGAATTTGCATCGTCGTTCATTATTTAGTTGCTGGCCCTATTAGGATGTGGCTGGGAAAAAAAAAAAAAAAAAAAAGCCCAAATCCATGCTACCTTCTCAGAAGTCTCGGATCTAGCATTTCTAGCTTCAGGATGCACAGTGTATTTAGGACTAAAGAGCCCTTGGGCAACACTGTATAAACTCAGTGTAACCTCAGGATGTGCAGCAACGATTGTGCTCATTGAAATCCCCCAAAGCCTCTGATTAGAGCCTGTTTGTAATATTGGCAGACCCTCCAGCAAGCCGCTCTGGAAAGCCACCATCCACATGCAGGGCTGCGGTCTTGATGTAGAATCCAAACGAGTCTTGCTGCAGACTCAGACAAGTTGGTCTACCTCAATGCCCAGGATCACAGGCATTTGGCATCCTTAGGGAGCCATGTGGGCCATCCCAGTGCTAACAGGGCTAAACTGGGCTTCCAGGCACCATGCCTGCATGGTCAGCTGCCTTTCAGCACCATCTCCTGGCCAGACCCTGGCAGGTTGATGCATCCCTGTCCCAGGAACCACTTGTGCCTACAGCCAACCGTGATGGGGTCAAACCCAAGCCAGAAAGCAAGCGATCCCTACCTGCTGCCAAGACAGGGAAGAACAGGTCTGAACAAAACATCAAACATCACCCAAGGAGGGCTCTCCTACTGTCCACAGACTCCTGGAACTGCCACCATCTAGACAGCAAACTGAGCACCACCTCTAATTTCTTCCCCAAAGTGAAAGCATCAGAATTGCTTCAAGGGCAAATAGGTACCTACCCAACTGCAATCTAGCCAGGACCTCTGGAAGCTTAGGGAATCTTGGAAAGACACCCAGGAGTCAGCAGCACAGACAGGAGTCTTGCATCCGTGTACTGTTTCTGCATAAGCCCAGCTGGCTTTTAAATCAACTTTCTCAATGGGAGGAAATGGGCCATGTCGAGCAAAGAAAGTATTCATTCTACCTGCTTCAAGCATGAGCTGTCAGGCAGACCTGCTCCTTTTCAGGTGAAGGAGCTCGTAATGAGCAAATTAAGGAAAAAAAAATTCTGACCAGATGGTGGCACAAAAACATCAGACCATAACAGTAGGTAACAGGCTCTCGCCAGAGATCTTGGAAAAATACTGCACAGCGGCAGCCTGTTGGAACAGTTGTAGCCTGGACCTCAAGCCAGGCATTAGCGTGCCCCTAAGACTCCTGCAGACAACGATTACCGTGCTGTCCTCTTTCAAATGCACCAAACGAATTCGAAGGCAGTAGCTCTCCAGCAGCACACAATTCCCAGCTTTCGCTTTGTAAACTTTTGTGCATGCATTTATAGGCCTGGTTACACTTTATTTTCTCCATCTCTCATCCTTCTGAGCTTTAAACAGAGTTTCAGGTTCAAATTCACTCAAAATGAAGACCACTGCAGAACCGTGCTTGCTCTGTAGGCTCTGCAACCAGGAGTAACAAAATCAAATAAAACTTTCTTCCAATTCATCTATCACTTATTTATACGTTGGTTAGCATGTATAAATATCCATTATTAGCAAAGCCCCAAAAGATGACTATTTTAATAACGCTCTTTAAAGTGTCCTTGATCCACAGCACTGGACTTTGAAAAATTTTTTTAAGGGTAACTCATCTCCTTTCTCTCTCCTCCCCCACCAGAACTGCAGACTAAACTGCTGGAACAATCACGGCGCCTTCTCTTTTGTCTGCACTTCCCTTTCGGAGATGAGTAGTAAACAAATGGAATTGAAGTTTAATTTGACAACGCAGCCTCTTATTCAGCTACAAACCCAGAAGGTTTCTGCAGATAGTGAAAGGCAGCATGCGAGCACCTCCAAACAACCAGCTCTTCTGCCTGTTTGTGCTAATGTTTTTCCATGACGAAAGTTAAAATTTTCTTGTTTATGCACATCTGCTTTGACTGATAGCCTCATCTTGGCAACGGAATAAAGACTACTTTTGAAACTAGAGTTTGGCCCAACCCCAGAATATTCCATGACTAACTGTCCTGGCTCTAATGCGAGAGCAGGTCTGGAGGATGGCAGATCAGGATGCTGTTCTGAGACGTTTACAGCATTCCCTAAGCGTATTCCTGTTCACACCTGCCCAACCCAGAGAGAACATGTACTGAGATAATAAACAGTGGGCAAGAGTCAGAAAAGCTGAGCACCCCAGAAGTAGCAAGCAAAGAAGAAGAATTAGACCCCAAACTGCCTTACTGGTACATCTAGAAGGTCATTTCCAGGCAGCGACGCACACTGCCTGTAAGTTATGGCAATGAAGTTGACTGAGAATCAAGATCTCCCCAGCGAGTCACTTGTGTACAAGTCAATTTGCCAGCCAGACTTCCTTTAATGGATCATGTTTCCAAAGCTGTTAATGGCAGGACAACACAGCAGGTGTTTTATAATTAAATATGGCAAGATAACTCAGCAGGAGCAGTCAATGCACGTTTCCCTCCCTTGTGTTTATCATCATAAACAAGTTCTGCTTTCCAATTATGCCGTGACCTGCTACCCAGCTCTCCTCTGCCCAGAGCCAGCCATGGGACTGGTTATCACACACTGCAAAACCATTTTAACAGCAGTGGAGAGATCAGTTCACAATTTCACATTTCAATTTTACTGTTTATGCACTGTTTGGAGCTTTACTCTCTCTATAAAAAGTCAGTTCTATCAAAGCAAATAATGTTTACTCATGTCTCGTGTAGATTTGACATCCTTCAGAAAACAGCTCACATTTATGCCTTGTAGGAACTTCAGCAGATCAACAAATTCAAAGCAAAGCATCTGGTGAACTGGAGTCTGTTCCAAGAGCTAGAGGCAGCACACACTCCACTTGTTTTACATGCAACCTCCTGCATTTGGAAAAGCAAGGAAATCCACAAGATTTGCTTTGGCTTTGAAGATCTTCCTGGGTGTCGGCAGAAGTTGCCAAGTCACATTTGTGGTTTCACACCCGGGAAGCCCAGGAGCAACAACGCAGAACAGGAAAGCTTTAGTGTCATCAAAAAGCAGCTCACACTCATTGACCTCTGTGGAAAACAGCTTTAACATATGCTGGGCCAGATTCTCAGCTGAATTCAAGCCCCTGATCCCTGTTCACGTCAGTGGGACCCACAAGCCCACGCATCCCCTCCACAGCTGGAAGCAAAGAGGAAGCAGGAAGCGACGGCCCTCTGGGTTTCAGTCTCAAGTGAAGATCCATTTGGTAGGGTCATTACAAGTGGGCAACAGTCCACATCGCAACATGGCTCAGAAAAATCTCTTCCTAAGGGAATTCCCAGCCAAGAATAGGAAAGTGAGGCTGAAGGTCAGCACAGAGGTGCCCTGGAAGAACCGCACAAAGGAAGTTCCCATGGCAAGCGACAATGGCAATGCTGGAGTGAAAGAAAACTTCACATTCACAATCCAACTTCCAAGAGAGGTAACATCATAGTTGGCTCCTCCCAAATTACTAAAACTGTTCTTTAAATCACGTTTGTATAAAACAGCCCAGATCAAGTCCCACATACCTCACAGGAAGCACCACGGCCTATCTTCTTCTCCACAGGCTGATCCTCCTCTTCATCAGGTGGAGGCTTGGCAGGGGGGGGTGGACGTTCTCTCTGCGGTTTAGAAGACCACTGTCAACTGTGTTGTGTTAAAGCACTGCCCCTTCTGCTTCCACCAACACTACATCCATGCTGCTGTGAATGCAGCATCGTAAGGACCTCCTCAAATTAGGCCGGATGGAGTTGAAGTTCAGTCCTAACAGCACAGAGCTTGGCAAGGGTTGCTGCCTTTCTTCCTCCTCCTCTCCAGCAGGATATCCCTTTCTGCAGATTCACCGTACTGCAGTCCCGTGGATGGACTGCTACTGATAACACAGACCACCCACTTCTGCTCCGCAGTGGTAACACAGCACAAGGCCAGCTCAGACCCACGTGAGCATCAGCCATGCTTTCAGGAGAATAAAATTTCCTGGGTAGAAGGTGCTGTGTACACAGGTTTATTGCTTCATTAATTAAGCCAGTTCATTCAGACCCAGACTGGTAATCTCAATGGCATAGCATTTCACAGTGAAGGTCAGTAATGAACTCATGCAAATGGGTAGAAAGGGAAGACTCATCACTTGTCTTAATGAAACAGTAACGGGAATAAGTGATTCCAGAGACACTTTTTATAGTGGAAAACCCTAGAGATCAAGACACAATGCTGCACTGCATTTCTCAAATGTCCCAAGATTGCCCGTGGGCAGTTAGAGCAGCGCTGCCTTGTCTCCATGCAGAGCTAAACACATCTCTGGGTCATCTCCTGCCCTGCAACAGCTCCATCTAATGGCAAAGGGAAAGATGGCAGAGGTGAACCACTCCCAAAAAAAACTCAAGCAAGGTTTGGGACAAACTCCCGCAAGCTCCTGGACCACATCCCTCTCTCTTCTCCCTTTTCACTGCAGTTCAGCCTCTCATCTTTTCTTATTTGTGACAGAGCTGGGCTTCTTTCCCATCAGACATTATCAACACAGGGCAGTACATACAAGCCACCACAACTTACTAACAGGATAGTGCGTCTTGTACTGCATACCCTAAAGAGAGATCTGGCTGAAACGTCAGTCTTCTAAAGCTTTTTGCCTCATTTCTACTATATCTGCTATAGTACAGGAAAAAGGATGCACCTCTTTGCAGAGAGAGAGGAAGCACGGTTACAGTACCACCAGCAGTTTAATTGTTCATTGCTGCTTTGCCTTTTGTCCAAAAATACATTCATGGAGCGGGCTTTGTAAAACCAACCAGAAAACAAACCCTGAAGCTGACACAGCATGCTGCAAGGCCAGCATCCCATCTGCCCCATAGCAGTGTTGCCACCAATTACTAAGGGGGTAGCAGATGCAACTAACAGAAGGTGAGGAAGACTTCTTTGGAGACAGTTCCAGGAGCTCTGCATTGCCTTGTAAAGCCTTGAGTACCCTCTACAGATTTCTGCAAGTAATACACAAAGAAAAAAAATGTTTCTGCTGCCAACTAGTTTCCAACAGGATATTCATAAAGATAATTTCTTGAGAGCATTCTCTTGGGCAAGGCAGAAAGCAAGAGAGATGAGGAAAAATGCTCCACACAAAAGTTACTGAAAGTTTCTTCTAGACAAGTTAGCCCTTCAGCTAAGTGCAACGTCCTGACAAACCAGAATTCACAGGTGCCAGTATTCAACTGCCAGAACACAGGAGGATGCAACACTAGGTAAAACCAGGCAGGTAAAAGCAGGTACTTGTGGGCAATGCACCGGAGGTTATGTGAACAGGCCAGTGAAAAAGGAGAGGTACCTGCCTGCTCTAATCAATGTCAGGGATGGGTGTAAAGATTTCCTCAAGCTGGGGGATTGGCAGCCTGCTGCAAAACCATGAAAACAGAGGTAAGTTACCTATCTTTTTAAGGCAAGCAGAGATGAACACACATAGCTACATACAGGCCTGACTCCCGCTGCTTTGAGACCAGTAGATTCCGCTTCCTTATTCACAGACTCTCGATCTGAAGATCTCCCACTGGCAAGGCTGTCCAGGGAGTGGCAGGATGTTGCATTGTATAAAGCTTCATAGGGGCTCTCCTTTTCTGGGTTCACATCAAAATCTATGATCAGTTCTGTAACTGCTTTCTCCACATCACCTGCAAGAGGAAGAGAGAGATGAGAGCATCACTCAGGAGCTTCTGCCCTTGGAACACTTGCAGAAAGAAGAGTGCTAGTGACTGCCGTGTTGCACGGACGCATACCCTGAGATATCTGGCACACGGGATCAGTGGCTGGAACAAGCGGCGCTTGAACACTCTTCTCTGCAGCTTTGGCACTTTTCTTCCCAATTGTGTAATCTGTAATGAGATGGGAGCAACAGGGTCAGTTCATGTCAATCTAGTTTTACGTCCACTTCAGCATATGGTACTTCCTCCCTTGTGGATGGAAGGCCAACTGTCAGCTTATTAATTCTCAAAAAAATAACTGAAGTGCATTATTAAAACTTGCAGCTCAGATCCCAAAATAGAAGCAGGCGGCCTCTTTAATCCCACGCACAAGGTTAAGGATGGTTCTTTGAACTTTTACAGAGTCTTTAATGAGAAATCTGCAAAGCTCCTGTATGGACACAATGCCATGGAGCAGATTACTTCATGTTGTAGACACAAGCTGCATCACTAAACAGAGATGCAGTCTGGTCTGCTGGGGTCATAAATCAGCAGCGAAACCAATTCTAGCTGTGGTCCCCAAACCACAGGCAGAGCCAGAAACATTAAGCTTACGTGAATCAAGTCAGACAGCAACATCTCATGCAGCTAGCTCACTTACAGGAGCAAACTAACAGCATTTACCTGCAAGAACTTTAGTTTTAAAGCTCATCTTCGTCTTCAATTCAGACTAGAGGTAATACCTACCAGCCTCACAGGCAAAGCTTAATTAAAAGTCTGCAAAGTGCTTTGAACCTGTAAAGCTCTCAAATGCTAAGCATGAATAATGCACACCAGTTGCTTCTGCTTCTGATCTTTCTTCCCCACAGCTGAGAGGAAATTGAGACAGCATAATTACAAGGTATGAATTTAGCTAAGATGCCACATTTCACTCCCTAACTTGGACAGACACAATGGGCCAAGCTCCTTTATAAACCACAAGTAATCAAGGCCTTTTCTGTAAGTCTCATCTGCAGGATCCATGCCCAAGCTTCGCGATGAAGTGAGCAGTAGGATGTAAGATCTGTGGACGACCATTTGCTTACACAGACACATAAAGGATAGTTAATCCGAAACCATTTCTAAAGCTATTACTCTGCATTCTGCAAGCAGATTTAGACTATCCTTAATTTTAATTAACTTCTAAAGTGAGTTAAACAAAGCTCAATTAAGCCCATTTAAACTGTAAAAGTCATGCCACACTCCTTCAGCAAAGGAGCTAATCCCCCTAAATCCCCGCGCCCCCCCCCGCAAACATTTGCTCTGAAGACAGTTTACCCGAGCATTTCAGCATCATCCAACACCTGTGAGACTCTCATCAAGGCTGCTCTGCTTTCAGCACTTTCCAGGACTAAAGAACAAAATCCTGTACTTGCACTGGCACAATCATCACCCCAAACTTTTCCCTCCTGCCCACACACAGAGCTACACCACTCACCTTCAATGAGAGCCGCTATGTGTTGGCTTTTCTGAGAAGGCAGTTCCCTCACAATATCCAGAGCTGTCAGGCCTCTGTTGTCCTTTATGTTGACATCAATACCTATGGCAATAGGTGTAGAGAAGGCAAAAGCAAGAATATTTTCAAACTACTTGCAAATTCATGCCTTTAATCAAGTTAGAGCTTACACTTGTGATCATGGCTGGGTGTGGGAGGAAGGAGATAAAAAAAGTGCTCTAGAGAAGCAGTTTTAAAGCCAAACACCAAGACAGAACCTCTCCTATAATCCTCTCTGAGGAACAACACTGATAGCTGCCACTGTGCAAGGGTTTCCTTAAGTGCTAGGTTGAAGGGATCACCATGTTACTGCTTCAAAAGGGGAACATTCTCTCACCTGCAGCCAGCAATATTTGTACCACATCTGTCTTGCCAAACAAAGCAGCTTCGTGCAAAGCACTGCCTTTTTCAGTCTGCAAATTAAATGGAAAATAGCATGAAGCTAGACAGTGGGGAATGGCGATGGAGACATGTTTTAGAAGGTTACAGAAGCATTAAATATACGGCATCATATACAAAGTGTGGGCAACAATATCTACAACTGAGGACAAACTATCAATATTACTACAATGCTGAGAATTTGGAATGGAAAATGGGATGGTGTCTTCAGAGAGACATGCGGGACAAGGTTAGAGACCAAGAAAGGACTTTCTACAGCTTAGCAAGAGGTCATGCCCTGAAAAAAAGAAGACAAGACCACCACGCACAAGCTACTGCTGTGAAAACAGCATATTCACAAGTGGCTCGATAGGAAGAGAAACAGTTTGCCTCCATTGCTATCAAGAGCTCATGGTTTTGCGGGGCAGAACAGCCTAGGTGAAAAGGCTTTTTTCCTCCCTCCCTCGCTATGCATCTGGGGCTCTGTGCCCAACTAACAAACACGCGTGAAGCATGCACAGCACCAGAATCCCTCTGAGCAGCTTCTCAGCGCAACCAAAAGCTGAACAAACAGCCCAGAGGAAAACAAAGCTATCGCTCATCTTTCATAAATGATCCCTCTGGGAGGAGGGTTAGGTGGAGCTCTCTGTATCTACAGGGGTTCTCCACCCCCTCAGCAATCAGACCAGCCCCTCACACCCCGACACACTAGATACCTGATAGTTGCTATCCATGCCAGCATCCAGGAGGACATGGACTACAGTTTTGTGACCATTCCTAGCTGCCAAGTGCAGGGGAGTGTGCTTCTTAGTGTTGCAGCTTAAAAGATTGGGGTGAGCGTTCAAGAGCATCTTCACAACTTCCAGCCTCCCGTAGAGCGCGGCCAGGTCCAGAGGAGTCTCAAACTTGTTATTGCGCATGGTGGGGTCGGTCAGCTCCTCCAGAAGGACCTTCACCACCTCCGTGTGGCCGTACTGTGCGGCGCAGTGCAGCGCCGTCTCGTTGTCGTTGTTCTGGGGAGGGTCACAAACATCAGCACGTCAGAACGGGGGAGAACAGAGCTGCTCCGTGCCTCACTCAAACCATTGAAGTTTAAATGCAAAAACAAGACAAAAAAAAAAGCAGTCAGGAAGCAGAGAGCCCATTTGAAACAGAGCCTGGAGCAATATTTTCACCGTCTCACTAGCCATTTACCAGGCACAGACATCCCCTCACGAACTCATCAACCAACCCACCCAGTAAAAAGCTTCAAAAACATTCAGAACAATAAGCTTTACTCAGATATGGGAAATCTGCTCTACAGGAAATAGGCGCTATATATGGAAGAGCCTGCTTTCAAAGCACTGAGGTCAAAATCAAGGGACCGTGCTAAAGTTTAAGGGATTGTCAAGCTGTATCTGGATTCCCATTAATTTTGCTAGCACTTGGGGAAAGCAGTCTGTTATTTGTTGGCAGCATCCCACACTTTGGGGCGCCACAAAAATAAAAGGCTGCGATAATATGACGGGCAAACTGCAGCATGAACTCTATCTGCTGTAGCTTAATCGTCATCATTTTAGATTTAAACTTCAATTGTTTCAAATCCTACTTATCCTGATTATAACAGTCATTCCACCTTTGCAATTCTGAAGCTTGCAAGCTGGCCGCTTTAAAGAAAAGGTGCATAAAGTTACATGCAGTTTGCGAATTAGAAAGCAATTGGATCGCTCCACTAACGAGCCCTTGTCTCAGGTCAACTGAGGGAAGAGATGTCCAGGCGACAAGAGAGCACCTCCACAGCGAAAGCCAGATCCAATTAATTCATGCAGCATCTGTCAGGTTAAAAATCAGCAACGCAAAGCACTGAAAGACAAGCAACCCAATACATTTCCCTTGCAGGTGCAAAACAGGAACATTGCCAAATTTAAAGGAGCCTTTTCTCAAATTAAATTCACCTCAAGTTTCTAGTTTTAGTACTGCGTGTTATACACAGAGGGATTTCTGTTTAAGGACTTTAGAAACAAATCCTTAGCTAACAATTTGACCCAAAAAAACTTTATTACAAACTGCGACCCAAAAAAACTTTAAGTGAAAAAAATAATCATGGTTGAATTTGTCATTTTAAGAACAGTTCCCATTAAAAAGAAAAAGGCCCCAAACCAGAGAATGTTGATGGAATTAGAAGTACTACTTTAGAAACTGAATTTAAATCAAATACCTTCCTTTTTGCTTTGAGAGCACATGCACTTTTTTGGATACCAGCTTGTAGGAGCAGTCAATATTTTGCACCATTTCACAGCCATGCTGCAGAACTTGCTCTGTTGTACAAGTACTTTAATCCTATTAAACGTGTTAAGTCATTCTAGGGATTACAGGAGTCATGCATGCAAACTCCCATTTGTTTTTATGCGGTATTTGCATCATTTTTCAGCCACGTGAAAAGCACAAGGGAAGCGAGGAGTTCCGGAGAGGCTCTCTGCAGCTTGTATAAAAGCAAAAACTAAGGAGGCAGCCACAGCCACATGCAGAAGTGAGATATTTCAGAAGGTAAGGAAAGCACGGCATCACTGTTAGCACAGAAGTTCAAAGTAAAACAACAGGCTCTATACTTGGAGTGGCAGAGGCAGCCATGGTGAAGGAAGGCACATACAAGTGGACAGAAGTTACTGTAGAATAAAGAAGTCTGCACATAAAATACACATACGGAGCGAGAAGGGGAGAGAACAGAGAACCACAGAGATTACACCTATCAATCAGCTTAAGCTGCTGGTCTCGAGCCATTTAGAAGGTTGGTGAATCGCATTATTCTTGTTTGACAGGGACGGGAACCCAGGTCTCGGTGAGCCCACGACACAGCCAGACTGAGACCCTCAGCCTGCCCCATAGCTTGAGGGGAAGGATGCTGCCAATTTTTACAGAAAGTGTAGATAACCCAGGCCCTCCGGAGCAGCAGGTATCTGCCAAAGAGCCATGGGGGGTACGCACTGCTCATGCCACGCTAGCCTTGGCTACAGGGAATTTCCAGTGCTAGGACTGTCCCCCCCCCGGCACAGAGACCACATCCCTCAAGGGTGCTTTAAAGCACAGAGCAACTCCAAACACCTGCCTGGCGGCTCAGAAATGAGAACATAACATCCTTTAATAACATAATTGTTGAAGACTTCCCCTGTCTTCACTGCAATTTAGTCTAATTTTCCTTAATAAGCAGGTCAAGGGCTCTGACACTCAGGATGAAATCCCCAGACTTTCCTCCTGCAACAGAGATCACCAGGTGGTAAACTCCCCTGAATCGTTACCGCAAGTCTTTCCCCATCTCAGGCTGTGTACTGGAAAATCCCTCTATTGCATAAATCTTTATTGCCTCCATTTTAGGAGAGCTTTGAGCAGCCAAAAACGCTAGAGCTGTTCCGGGCAAGGGAGTTTGCCTCCCTTCCCTGCATCGCCTCTCCAAGCACAAACCAGAGCTGAGCCTGAACAAGGAGTATGAGAGCTCAGACATACATATTTATTGAAGAGGGAAAAAGAAAATTCCGTTCCAGCAGCCAGAAGGCATATGGGTTCAAATTTCAAAACTTCTTAGAAACATAGAGCACTCAACAGGGCCCAGGGGCTGCATTCTTGCAAGAATCCTAGCACCCCCCCAGTTCACAGTCAGGAGTGAGAAGCTGGGCTCGCACGATGCCCGCCTACAGCCCACAAATGGGGAACACAGGCAGAAATGCCTCTGCTTTCATAGGGGTTCCATCAAATTTTTCAAGCCCTGGTAACTAGATACCACATACCATAGCCCTTATGCTCCTCATCACACAATAAAATGGAGCATCTACAGCTCCTTAAAGCATATCTGTCTGCGCTCCTGATCTTAACACACCATAGGAGGGATTTGATTGAAGAAAGGGAGACTTGGTTTAAATAATTGAAAGTTTTCTAACTTTCTAACCTGCAAAGATTTGAACGATCAAATAAGCTGCCAAGGGAGACTATAGAGCTGTTCTCCTCCGAGGTTTTTGAGAAGCTGCTAGACAAACACTGGTGAGGGATGGTTTAGGTAGACCCGATCCTGCCTCAGGGCTGGGGAAAGAGGCTACGTGACCCTTCGGTCCCATACAACTTATTTTAAGATTCCTTTTTTGTAGGATTTTTATCAGTGTGTGCATGTCTAACAGACTCGCCCTATTAAAAACCTGCTATTTTGTTCCTCCAGTGACACAACTGATCCTAAAGCACCGGACAGGGGTGTCCCGCTGGCATCCACTCATAAAGTTTCAGTTAAAGGCAGGCCAAAGTGAAAGAAAAAAAAACCTGTTAAGCAAAATCCAAACTTCACCAGGAGGTGACAACCAAGGCCCATCACAACCTCGGGCACAAAGCAGGCCAGGAGGGTTGGCTGGAGCTGCCTGGTCAGTTGTACCAACTCCTTCCCTCCTTCTGCAGCACAGAATTTCCATCAGTGCCCCACAGGGCACGGCCAGGAGCAGAGTAAGGATGAACAGGCCTCCTCCCTTCCTACAGGTGCCCAACAATGCCAAACGCATTCCAGAGAAAAAATGATCCCCATATGTCCAACAAGCTTTCGGGAGCTTGGCGGGTGGGTTCGCTGCCCGGTTTCATTTCCAGACTCCAGATGGTAGGCTTCCACTTTTCTCAGCAGCCCATTTAGATTTATAGCACTTTAAACCCAATCTGCATGATTCATTTGCTTCCAATTAAAAAAGACAAAGGTAGTTTGTGCAGTGCACAAACCTGAGCTATGTGACAGCTTTTTCTACTTTGGCTCGGCTCAACTGGTTGGTTCCTTCATACAAATTAAATAACCAAATTCAAGAGAGCAGGAGTTACTGAAGCGGAGTTGCTGCTCCATCTCTTAACTTTGCTTCTATCATTTGCTTTTCAGAAGTCCTTCAGGCCGGTAACAGACATATTGCAGGGACCTGCTATTGAACAGACGATGTTGAAAAAGAAGGGGCATAAAAAGAAGCTGTTAACTATTTCGTTAATGCCTAGGAGCAAGAAGCTTCTGGCTTTCTTACGTCTTCCTCAACAGGATATTAAATTGTAGTCCAGCTTTACAAAAATGCTTTCCCCCTCTTCTAAATATCCCAAAACGTTTGGAAAGATGAAACATCTCGCTTCAAACGTTTCCGTGTCGCATCCCATCCTGCATGGGAGCTGAGAAAGCTGGAAGCACCAACCAAGCAAGGACTCTTACACTTTGCACCTGGACTTTTTGTGGTTCTCCCACCAGCAGCCAGGCTGCTGAGAAAACAGCCAGGTTTGTGTGACAGGTATGATTGCACATGCTCTTCATCAAACCTGGTCAGAAACCAGTGGAAAGCTGGTCAGAACTTGTGATGAACCTAACAGATTGTGTATAAATCATCTCTCTCTCCTTAAAACCAGGGCAAAGATTTCAAAGAGCCCTAGCACAGGCTGCCTGGGGGTGAGTGGAGTCTCCTTCTCTGGAGATATTCAACCCCCGCCTGGACGCTGTCCTGTGCCCCCTGCTCTGGGTGAGCCTGCTTGAGCAGGGGGGGGGACTGGGTGAGCTCCTGAGGTCCCTTCCAACCCCTGCCATTCTGGGATTCTGTGGAAGACACTAGCCTTGCTCCTGAGAGCTCTACAGCCATCTTGAAAACCGAACTGAGAGTTTAAAATAATGCACTTGTCAAAAATATAAAATCAAATTAGAATACTTCATAAACGAAAGTCCACAAGAAAGCGAGCTCACTGTGTATTTCGTCTCTCTATCCCTCCTTCAGTCAACATTTTAATGCTGGAGTGTGTAAGATTTTACTCTGTTACTGACAATATTTTAGAAAGCTCCTTTCAGGCAACTGAACTGCTTGACTATGATGTTTCCACAGAAGAAATGCGTTGTTGTAAAATTCCCATCTGGATTTTTGTAAAAGTCACCGATACGGGTGAGCTTCATGTAAATACATTCGTGCTTAAAGAGGTATGCACTAGGGTATTTCCTGAAAGAAAAGTCTGCAAAACCAAACGTAATTCCCAGCGGTTAGCAAGCTCAGGGACTTTGAACGTGTGTTTTTAAGGTACTGCAGATCAAGCAGAGTGGAAGTTTTAACTAAACTTTGAGAGACAGAAATCTGCCATGGATGGCTGGATCCAAAATAATTGGCTGGAAGCAACTGTTGCATGGTAGCTGAGAGCAGAAGTATCTCATGATAAATCAGCAGACTATTATGCCATCGCTGGCCTGAAGCTTCGCTATAAATAAAAATGAAAAATGGTGTCTGAGAAAACACCACCAAGAACTTTCTTATCTGCTTCCTCAATTGCTCAGCCTCAGTGCATCGTAAGCACTGATGTCATGCCTTTTTGTAGCTCAAGAACAACTAAAAGCAAGAGAGGAGCAAAATAGGCAAGAAAACAGGAACAGAAGACTAAGGCTGAAGGGTCAGACGACACAACAGACTGAACATCAAAAAAAAGAGAGACTGATGCAATAAGCAGGACATGAAGGACTTGGGAAGGGAGGCATGAACATTACTGCCTTCCCTTCTCCCCACCACCACCGAAAGAATTAGCTGTCCATTCAAACGACAAATACAGCATTATGCTTTTTGTAGGAGAAAAGGCATGAAAATTCACTCCAAACAGCCCACAGAGAAAATGCATCCATGTTTAAGCAGGAAAAAAAAATTTCCTTCTCTTTGCATTTATCAGCAACATTAGCACATGAAACAAAACCTAAAGCATTTTAATTGAAATAACATTACCTTTTGGAAGTCATCCAGCCAAATCAAGCAAACTGACCGTCACCGTGAGTCCTACAAGGCTAAGCAATGAAGGAGCCCCCAGGAAAGTAAGGAAAAGCTTCCCTTAAATTATGTTTCTACAACCGCTTTGGAGAAAGAAACCCACAGTAAATAAATGGTCGCATTTTACTTTTCCCCAAGCGGCTGCAAACTGGACAGGTATTATTGCAACTGGATGACATTGCACCTGGAAGCACGCGAGTGCAGCTTGGAGTAATGATGCAGTGAAATGCTGACAGCAAAGTACACACCTTGGCATTGATATATGGGTCAAAGGGGCCGTACTTTTTGAGTTCTTTGATCTCAAGAGCATTCTACAAAAAGGAAGAGGAAAAAAGAAAAAAAAAATGTGATAATGAAATGGGTGAGATACAGCAACAAAGCAATGGGTGACTCCCAAGGGGTGGAAATGACAGAACACAGCATCTTGTTCCAGTCAAAGCTATTACCAGCAGAAGCCATTCCAGCTGCCGATTCCTGTAACCTGAACCACTGTGCATTTCATTTACAAGACTCCAAACACAAGCAGCACTGGCTGTTCGGCTGTCTTTTCTCATTTAAAAAGGTTCCTACTAAACAGGCATTAACGAAACATTACCTGGAAGGATTACACTGAGCTCTTAGTCTTTTGCTGTACCTGTCCTACTCAGAGCAGAACAGTTTACACTCAGGGCCCTCAGTCAATTCTTATCAGATTGATTGTAAACAGCCAACTACACTCCTCAAATCTATTTAAACAGACTGAATGCCTGCAGCTGTGCCTGAAGACATTATTAACCACAGCCCCAAACTGGAGAACTATGAAAAGACATTAAAACACACACTCTTCCTTGTTTCTGCTCAATTGAAGAGTGGTAGTGAATAGCGTTACCACCATGTTTTTATTCCGTGATGCTTTAGAAGCAATCATTTAGCCTTGGAGCAGCCTGATGCATCGAGTTAGCCATCTTATACTGAGGAACAGAAAACTTAAGCATGGCACTTTGGTCCCCACAAAGTGTGGCTGGAAGCAGGATTAGGACTCCTAAACCCAACTCTGAAGGGAGTTTGCTCCTCAGCTTCTGAAAAGTGTACACCGCAGATCAAAATTAAACAGCAGAAACTCGTCGTTCCCAGCTGCTCCTCTTGACTTTGACAGATTTTGCTGAACTTGAGCCAGGAGTATCTCACCTACTTGTGAATTAGCTTCTGAATGAATATACATTTTTAGCCTTGTACTTCTAAGGCAGATAAACTTATTTTGGTTTATTTTGCTCCTCCTGGATGAAAACATGAGTGGTTTATGAGTTGATTCACAGGGACATTGGATATTCCTGCCTTAGGGACAAGACAACCAAGGGTTATTGGAGCTTTAACCATCGGATTTGGATCTGTTACTGCATGCCTGCCCAAGCTCCCTCAGCCATAAGTGGTTCAGTAACACTGCTCAGCTGGCCTCACTTAGTAAACCAGTTCCCTTATCCAAAATTCAAACAAAAGAAATATTTGGGTCTTCCAGCAGTAGCATTTCAGAAGTTCCCTGGAATTGTAAGGTACCTGCTGACTTCCACGGGAAAGTTACATGGGAGCCAGCCCTCCAAAGTGGCCGCAGCAGCCGCTGTACAGAATAGCTGTCTCATACAAATCAATCCCTCTGCATCTTAGACCAAAAACTATCAGCTTGACAAAAGGAAGAAATCCACCAGACTTTTTTTTCTTGCCTGATTGAGAAAATAATTCTTTAAGATTAAGCTGGTGATTTATCTGGGGGCAAGTAGGGTTAAAATTATTTTACAACTTACAAATTAGTTAACTGGAGCAAGTGCTAGAGACAAGCCAGGAGAATAGCTAAGAGAGCGTGGCCAAACAAAGACTAAACAAAGCTGCTTTGATTAGTTCCCAAAGAAGGGGCCAATGCATCCTTTGACAGAACTAGAAACCTTCTCAGCTATCCAGCAACTGAAAGGAAAAACTATGGGTTAGTTTTAGAAGCCCAGTATGAAAGCAGGAGACCACTTGCTATGTGTTGAGTGGTTCTCATATTTATATATCTCTCTATAAACATATATACCTTACTCATTCAACCGCTAACTCAGAACTGGAGGTATTTGCTTTCGGCAGTGCCCTTCTTATCCCATTAGCAAGTAGGACTTTATAACAATTGCTACTAGTTTGGGAAGGGTCAGGAGTCAGCTGAAGTAGTCTCTCTCCATCTGAGGGAAGCGATTCAACGATATATTAGAGAAAAATACGCAGACCTGCTCATTCACTTTAGTATGCGAAGGTCCCTGGTGGATGAGGAGCTTCACTATGTCTGCATCTCCTTTCCAAGCTGCCAGGTGAAGCGGGTAACAGCCTTTACAGTCTGCTACATTGGTTAGCGCGTCGTTCCTCAGCAGAACTTCCACCACATCCCTGCAAGAGAAGGAAACTTGAGGCCATCAGATACTCAGTCCTTGTTTCACGGCTTACATTCTGCAGTAAGTAGAGTATTTTACAAAAAGTTCATCTGAACAGGAGTATTTCAGAGATCCTCTTGAAATGTGATCTTAAAGCATTCCTTGCTGCCCAAGGAAAAAAAAATTGAGAGACTGCAGAGATGAGCTCAGGAAAGATCTGCATTACCTTCATACTAATGGAGCTGAATAGGGACTGAAGGCATCCACAGGCCACTCTGGTGAAAAGTGAATTGCACCAGCACGACAAAGATGAATAAGGATTTTAACTCTACTCAATTTCTCAGTATCTTCAGTAACAATGAACAACACAAAATTTACCACGCTGAAGACTGGAGTTACTTAAAAATGTAATATGCACGAAAGCAAATTTTAAGTGGTGCAGGCACAGCAACACATTGGACACCAGACAGACTGCAGAGGACTGTTACTGGAGAAGCCACCTTCAGGACATTGTTGTATCTTATCCAAATTGTTTATAAATAAAAGGGTGGTTGAAAACCTCAGTGCTTCGCCAAATTTTTAAAGAGATGCATGATCATACTGTGCAGCAGCCAATGCCTCTACAGCTTCACTGCACTGATGTTCTTCACTTCTTGTCCTGAAGATGGTGTAGTGCTGCACCATCGGCACATTTTCAGTGGAAACAGCATTAGACTGGTGAACGAATTACACAGAAACGTAGCTTGTAAAGCACATAGTACCCCCTATGATCAAAGACATTGTAAGATGACTCACTTATGACCATTCAAAGCAGCATGGTGCAGTGGAGTGTATCCAGTACTGTCAACGCAGTTCACATTTGGCCCTCTCCAGATGCTGCAAGACAGAAACGTACAGGGAACACTTAGGCATACACCAAACAGACGGACAGCTGGCAAGGACAAGTTTCAGCAGAGTTCTCACACCAAGTTGGTTATCTGGAAGCAAACCAGTGGCTGGACAGCTGTGGTTAAGAGCAGTAATACGGAAAACAGACCGCAGATCACTGTGTCGAGCAGAGGGGTTAGTGTCACAAAGCACACAGCTGGGACAGGGATCCACTACTTGATGCTTTATCAGACCATCCTGGTTTTAAATCAGAGCTCCCACGTTCTCCCGCTGCTAGACATCTTTCAGCCATACATGTGCTTGCCAAAAAGCATCTTCAGAGGAACATGTGTCTATTAAACTCAACCACAAGAGACAGTAAACCATCAACCCACTGCTAATTCACACCCTTCTGAAAAATTTTGATGGGTCTGGGAAACCCTCTTCCCTCCATGGCAAGAGACACCAGGGGTGTAAGTCAAAGACTGTGGGATACAGAGGCTGCTCTTGGTCACCAGTGGGATTCCACACTGACTTCTTACTGTCCAAAAATCATTTCCATCTGACAGCTGCTGGCAGCCTATATGAAAAAGTAGGTGGTCTCCAAGCACTTCTGAGACTATTGTTAAATCCCCCCTCCTTGTTCAAAAGTCAAACACCAAGGATTTAAGGATTAACCCTGTACAGGATTAATCTTCCCTTTAACCCATGCAAGGTGTCCTATTTAAAACAGTGGAGAAACAAACGTGTAAGAGGCTGGCACTGCTCTTGAGCTTGCTGGTACCGGAGTTTGGTCTCTGCTGGCACCCCTCACCAGTGCTACCACCCTTTCCCAGAAGGGGCACGTGAACCCAAATCAATACGTTCTTATAAGCAAATTGAAACCCTTCACCTTTCCTGAAGACAGCCCTCTCCATTACAACCCATCATTCCTTGTACGCTGGCCTGTTTTAAACTTAGTACTTTCAAGAATTATACAGGATTTATTATAAGCCTAGACAATCACACTTTTGCTAATACAGTATATTTTCCTGCTTGGTTTTCTTTAACTAGGGGTAGAACTTAACAGCACCCTCTAATCCCTAATTTAATTGGTTTAAAATAAACTCAACTTGTTGCTTTTTATGAAGTAGGCCTTTCCTGATCATTTCATTTCCTCCCCAGCATGTAATTGCTACGACTCATTGTATGATACAGAGGCAGCCCGAGCAGCAACTAGGTTTTCTAAAATAACAGTCATTACTAGAGGGCTCCTAGCCAGAAAAAACGCTACACCACAGCGTATAAAAGCAGCAGGAAAGGCACCAAACCAACAGGAATCTTGTGCAGACCAAGTGGAAATTCAGAAGTAAACCAAGCAGCATGCTTACTCTCAAGCACGTTTCAGGTGGGACTCAGGAGCATGCTCTGAAATGGAAAGTCTCTCCCCTCCAAGCGACTCCTGATCCGGCTTATAAAAGGCTTTGCAGTCCCGAGACAGACATGAGCTCCGCTAGAGGAAAGGCAGCTAAGGGGAAACTTTATCCAAGAAGGCAGGGAAGTAAGCCACAAAATCCAATTTGCAAAGGCTCAGGCGGCTTATCCAGAGGCATTCCCGCACACCACACATCACCCTGCACTTCAGAAGGAAATGGCAAACCAATACATGCACGCAATGCATTTCAAGTGCTACTCGCATCGTTAGCAGGATGATGGCTTGAACTATGTCCAGAAGATATGCGAGAAATCAAAAAAACATTCCAAGAGGTGCCCTACCCCATCCAGCTGCAACAGTCCTGAAGCATGAATAGGACCTGAATAATTCTCAGGCTCTGGTTTATTTTTGGCAGTGGGCTCATGCAGTGTGGTTGCCCAAATAATTTATTGCTGGATTTAAAGTGGCAATTAATGGTTAAAACTAGTGCCAGAAAGACTTGCATGTAGTCTGGAGCAGTTATAAACACCACGCCTGCATGTCCCCTTGCACAGGCTGCTAACCTGACCAAAGCCAGAGTTCAGTGGTTTGTACATGTTAAACAGAGCTGTGTTTTGGCGCTGAGCTCAAAAAGCTTCCGGGTGCTCACATGAAAAACCAGCAGCGTTTCATACAAATATTTCTTTCAGCCGAAGTTATGAAGTAAGGAAAACCAAGGTTAGTGGTGTCATGGGCATAAACCAAGTCACTTGCTCAAAAGCGATCCACCCAGTCGACAGCGGGACCGGGGACTGGAGCCCAGGATATCTGTCTCCACCAGAACATGATCTCCCTGTGAGAAGAGGCACTTCCAGAGACTTCCTTAGAAATGTTTTGGTTAATACTTTAGAGTAAAATGCAAAGTTCACTCAAGGGACTCAGAGGAGGAGAAAAGTTGGAGTCCAGGATGGAGCTGGTTCAAGAGCGAGCGCTGGGTACTGCAGAAATCAACTGCTAAGATTTTAAAATATTTAAAAAAAAAAAAACCAAAACCAAAAACAAATCTGCTGTGTCCTTTCATCCCCCTTGCCCTTTTATTCTTGCAAATAAAGAAAGCTTTTATCAAATAAAGGTCAAATCACCCAGAAGTTCAGACTGAAAGGATCCAAGAGAGAACTATTTATATTTAGCTGTGAGGACTGCAGTGAAGTGTCTTCCCTCCTCTTCCCCTCCAGCTCTGCTAGGAAGGCCATACAGTTCTCCTGACTTAACAGAAACCAAATCTTTCATCCCTTTTTTATTTATGCAATGCATAGCATTAAAGTGACAGGCTAAGATAAGATCCCAAGCTTCCCGTGTTAGGTCTAAACACAGGAAAATAACTCCACTATGGTTCGCAGAAACTAGGAGGTGGAAAAACACTAGTATGGGAACACTACTTCTGAAAGACACTGCACTTCCCCCCAAAGCACCATTTGCAGCGCCCGGTGCATCTGATCTGAATGACATCTCAGGCAAAATCTGTAGGAAGTGTGGCAGAAGTACTGGATACAAAGCCCAGGCTCTAATCTAAAATATTAGGAAAACCACTTTGGGGAGGAGGTGGGTACTCTGGGATTGAAAACAGATCTTTTGAAGTGAGGAGTTTGTCAGGTCTTTTCAGGCCAGACAGGGAAACTTGAAGAGGTTTAAGTCAACAGGAAGGACTCAGCAAGACTTTTGAGATGTCAGGCTCATAGGTACATAGAGCCCCATTCAGCCAGCCCCCCTTTGGGAACTCTCACCTGACAAATAAATACGGAATAGTGTCTAAGCTCTCTTGGTTCAGCCCAGTGCAAGCACATTTCACAACATGTCGAGTACAATAAAAATTATACATTAGGAATCAAGTAAGTGGGTTTTATGGAGACACAAAAATCACCGCAGGGAGATCAGGAGCCCGCAGCAGCTGGGCAGGCTCCATCCCTTTCAGAGGGTTTTCCCCTTCGAGTCATCAACCTCCCGCTGTGCTAAGGCACAGACGTGCACATCAATACCCAGGGCCCACATCTCCACCTAGGATATATTCCCCCCGATGGTTTGCAAATGAGAAATGAAATGAGAAAGAGATGAGCACTTATGTAGGCGCTGTGAGATCATGCAGTGGTAAAGCCTGAATCATTTCATCTTAACAATACCTACTGACAGACCTGTTGCCCTGATTTTACAAGGCAGAGGGGAAGTAATTCAAAACGGGGCAGTATAAATGTTGCCTTCAGCAAAAGTAGACAAGACAGAACAAAATGCAGGAAATCCGAACACCAGACCACGGCGATACTCTTCCAGCCTTGCAAGCCAGGGTGTAGATGATGACTCTGGAAGCCACGAGGACTTTACTCCCCGCTGTACTACGTAGCCTTGGGAAAAGCTCTGCTTCCAGACCTCAGTTTTCCCATCTGTAAAATGGAAATACAGCACTGAGAGCGTGTACAAAGCCAAGCACTATCTACATACAGTTTGATTTTGGGCTGTTTCTGATTAAAGAGAAAAACAGATCCCAGCACAGGAAGGAGAATGCTGTAAATGCAAGTCTCCAATAAAGCTCAGAGAAGGTCTGGAGCCAATTCGACTACCACCACTGTTTGCTTTCTTTTCTCGCCCAATCCCCCAAACCCCCTTTACATCAAAGAGGGGGGTTGCTTTTATATTAGCAGTCTCCCTTATGAAAGCAGACTTCTCAAATAATTACCTAGATTTCACCTCCCTTTTGCTGCACCAGGGAAGTATTTCAACAACATTTCTGATGTATCTGTTTAAGGCAATTAAGACTGGACATTAAGGACATAAGAAAAGCTCTGAAAACTGCAAAATTTGCCCTGTTGAATTCTTGCGCTCAGCTTTGTCTTGCTCCATGATTCAGCAAGTGCTGTAGCCTTTTAAATAAAGCTTCCTGTTTGTAAAAATTGCTGAATAAAGCACATTGCTTTAGGTCATGATAAAACCCAATAGTTCCTTTAAACAAGACTGTATTTGTCCTCTTGCTTTTCCATTTATTTTTGCCCGACTGTAGTAACTTTACTCACAAAATTGTCTGGGGCAGTGGGCTAGAGCAAAGGCCAGGCCACCTAAAGAACAACTCAGTGTTTTCAAGTCAAACGATGAGTCTTCAGAGCTGATTTATAGTCTCACTTATGTGGATTACAGAAGCACACAGAGACTTCAGGGACCGGTACTCTTACTCGTGCGGATCAGACAGCAGAGGCCATTGCTACCCTGTGTATTTACGTACTCAACACTAAAGACAAAAGGCACGATATTAGTACTATCACTGCTTTAGATACAAAAAACACAGTGCACACGAGTGGCTCGGCCCAAGGTCACAAAGGAAGTTTAAAGTAGCTGAGAACTGGTCCCAAATGTTTGGAGTCTTAGTTCAACCTTAGTTCACCGCCTTAGAGACAAAGTGTCACGAGGGCCGTTAAGGCTGGAGGCAGATTAACTCCTAGTCCATTGCCCCGAGGACATCACAAGCAAGTCAATGCACACATCTCGGCTATTAATATCCATACAACTGCTAGATTCTTGCAATGCTAGCACAAGCCTCTTTTGGCATTTCCTGCTTATGGACTGGTAATAC